AGGAAGTTCAGATTACAGCTATTGTTAACTGAATAAGATGTTTTTGTAATGTTGCAGGCCTTGTCGTGGCTACATTTTGTTACCTCCAGTTTTTCGCACCTCCCTACCACACTGAAGGTCATTCACAAGAACACAAGATTCTTGTTTCTGCATTTTTTTAATTGTGAGTAATTAATGAAGATAACAATCCTAATTGTTGGTAAATAAATGAATACGTAATGATGGCAGGATGGGGTCCTTATGCATACTTCCGAGCAGCAGAAGAATCTCGTTCCAATTCACGGGCGGCGGCTCAGCCATGGGAGTGTGGTACCAACACTATGCAAGAGGCCGACAGGCAGCAATCTGCAGCCCACACGAGCAACAATCTCAACTCGACTTTTCATGACATAGAGTCGGGACGAAAGTAGGACAAAGACCTTTAATGCACTCGTTACTCCCTTTGCCTCGGTTGTGTCAATATCTCATACTGTTACTACTTAGATTTGCGATTATGTTCATCGTTTCACTAGTCTAATGGCATCTTGTTGAAGAAAAGAAAATATGTTTGATGATGATTGGGTGCTTAGTGCTCTGGTATTGACTGGAGAGTTGAGAATGAAGTAGGTGTATGGAAAACAATATGCTTAATGGTTTGCACAGCTGGTTTGCCTTCATCCTTGCTCCTCTGGTGAAATTTTTCATGTCAAGGTACAGTGGAAAAATCATCTATGTATATATAATTGCTAGCTTCGCATTTAAGTTTACCTATTTAATAAAACCTCTAAAATTTTTCCTCCATTTTCGGCTACGGAATCTATCATTATTATTTCTCTACTTCTCACATTAATATATCATATTGAGTGTAATCCTGTATTTTTCTATTATATTATATAGTTAATGCATATACCAACTAATAATAATTCACAATAAATATAAATTACGTAATTATAAACAATAGTTTTAAGTTATTTATTTTAGCATCAACTAGTACATACCCCGTGCATCGCACAGACTGTATTATTCTTAGGGCATAGCATAAATTGAAGTGCATTAATAAATAAAAAAAGTGAAATATTATAATATGAAGATAAATAAAGGTGTGATAACATGTGGAAATTGTCAAACTACAAAAATGTTCCTCAGAAAAAATAATATATTATTAAAAATTTCTTTATACACAACATTATTAGTTTGATTATTGGAAAACTCGTCATCCCATAACGTAATGTTTTCAACTACTTTATATTACTTACACACAAACCAACATATAATTGACAATGACTAAAGATGGACTCTTCATTATCATCATGCATACAAAACTATAAGTAGAATTGGTGCCTCTTTTATATCACTTACACACAATCAACATATAATTGACCATGAATAAAAACAGACTCCTCTTTCTCATCATACATACAAAATTATAAGTAGGAACTGGTGTCGTTGGAACTTAAATGGAAACTTAAGATCGAAATGATTTATTTATCATAGGATGAATTACATGGCAGTTCTAAATTAAAATGCTATTAGTTTATCATTTTAATATCGATTATAATTGATTAGCTAAATAATAGTTACTAATATTTTTATTATATAAAAGAACATTAAATATGTATGTTTAGAATATTAAAAATACATAAAATACTATATAACATATGTAAGATTATCTAAAATATTATATATTATTCTTAAAAAATGTGAGGTCGCCTAAAGTTCTTTTAATTATTTTGTAAATAAAACATGTATAAAAACACTTAAGTTTAACACACACATATATGTACACACACACACACACACACACATATAGACCTTAATTTATATGATGTGTAAAAATTATTCCCAAATAACATATTTAATAATATATAAAATATTACATGTGAATAATATGTATTACAGTCTAAAAAAAATATTACTAATAGCACAAGCCAGAGGTCAATTATATCGAGCCTTGCTCTCCCCCTATATATAATTCCCGAATGCGCTGAGCCTACGTGACTGTTTCTGGTGCTTCGGAATCCTACTTGGCTGTTTCTGGTACTTGGCGAAGAATCATGCTTCGTAATTAGGTTTGTACAAATAATATTGATATATTAATAATTAATAATCTAGGTTCGGACATTCTATAAATATTATTTAGCTAACTTAGGTATTTTAATATCATTTGTACTAATACAACCATTTAATTCTTTGTAATTTTACATAGTGAGACACTAAGTGACTAATATATCCCTGACTTTTGATTTGCTTCCTTCAATTAGCTATTGAATTGTAAATGTATTTTAAAAGTTGATAACTTTTGTACTTCTTATCGGTTTTGCATATATAATATATCAAACTAATCGTCTTTTGATGATCTTCGATTTGACATTCATATTGTATATATGAAATAAATAAATTATATTTATCCTTATAATAAATAAAAATAATAATATTTATTAAAATTCATTAGAAAAATAAAATTATTCTCAATTGATATATTTATGTTTAATGTAGTTATATGTAGTAAATTGAAAAAACTGTTATAATATAACCCAAGTAAGTCGCACAAATAAAAAATGACATACTAAATATATATCATTAGATTTTAAGAAAAAAATTAGCACACATATAATACTAAAAAGTGATATATTTTTCTCATTAATTTTAGATTTTAAGAAAAAATTAAAAAGCACCCGTGTAATACACAGGCGTTATACTAGTTATAATGTATTACCAAATAATATGCATTAGACATGGATAACATTAGACATTACATTTGTAAACGTGTCATGGTAAAAAGCGATTTGTATATATCACACTGCAATCTTTCTTTCATTAACAAATTTAGATAATCCTATAATTAAAATAAAAAAGAATTCTCATAAATAAGAATTCTAAAATCTGTTGTCTAATTATTTACATAACATTTGTCTACCAAACAATTATCAACGTAGATAAAGGAAACTGAGAATTGACTAAAACAAACATAAACTGAAAGTCTAGTTATATGGAAACAATGTAGTAATGGTTTATTTATTTTTATTTAAACACATATTATATTAGTTCCATCTATAGTATGTAATTAATATTTTTTGCGGGTAAATGTTTTCTAATAATCAATTAACCTTATTCTTATTATATATATAAATCATAATGAATGCATTAATTAACAGAAATTCTATGGTGGCACATGTTATGGTGCCACAACATGATGTGACACATTATGATTGGTGCCACAACATGATGTGTGATAGTTGTGGCACCAATCATAATGTGCCACATCATGTTGTGGCACCATAATATGGTCCCACATGTGACACCATAGAATTTTTGATTAATTAATGCTTATTTTTTTCATTATTTAAAATAAATTCTAAAATTATATTCTTATATGTATAGAGAGAGATGGACATGTAGTTATTGCAATAATATGTATTGATGGGCTAAATTATTTTGTCTCTCCGTTAAAATGAAAGAATATTCCATCAAGATTTATAATTTTTTTTATTTCAAAATGCAAAGAAAAAATCTGCTTAAAGATTTGATGAAAATAATAGCAACTAAATAGCATAACAAAATCCACTTTTCAAGGTTATCATGTTTATCGCTGAAATGGAAAATACTAATTTAAAATTTTTAATATTGTTTTCATACGATAAACATTAAATTAAGTTTGATATGCAAACCGTGTAAGTCAAATCTTACCGAAAAATTAGCGATAACTTTAAGATGGGATATTGTATCGACATTCTCCAAAGTGATTTCTAGTTCGAAAAAAAAATATGCTAAATGAAATAGAATCCGATTTTTAAGGGAAATATATATGGGACACAATTAATGCAGCCTATTCGTTTTTAATTAAAATATGTTTTAAAATTATTTTTTATAGTATGTAATTAATATATTTTGGCGGGAAAAGATTGCTAAAAATAATTTATGACAATCCTCACTATATATATAGATATAGATTGCTCTCCATATCAAATAGGTTTGTTGGACCTATTAACTGCATGGAGTGTATCAAATAACGGTGTCATTGTTTTTTTTTTTTTTTCTATTTTGCGAAAGTTCTTTGCGTTTTTTTTTCTTTTTTTTTTATGTGCAGGAATTGGAGAAGTTGATAAAATATGTTATCTATATATATAGGAATCAGTTAATCTATATTAATTTATATTAATATGATTCTTGGGATTGTCTTTTAATAAAAAAATTATGGAAAGGGAATAAAAATCGGATGGTATAGGATTTTGGGTATTTCATTCGAATTAAAATATTAATATATTAAAATACCTTTTTTCTTGCGTGAAACGAAAAAAATTAGTTGATGAATTGATTTACATGAGAGTCCTACTTTGATGGATCTCCCAAATGTATTATTATATTATTTAATTAGTTGATGAATTGATTTAGCTTAATCTATTTTTTAGCAGACTCCTTAATTAACGCAAGCTATGCGACATTGAAGAGAGGAGATTTATATGGGGCCACAAAAAGAGGAGATTTATTTGAATTTTGATTCCATATTGGCTACCAATATAAAAGTTTTTGATTGTATTCGTAAAAAAAAAAAATGGAAAAACAGATATGCTTATAAATAGCAATTTTGTTATTTTACTATTTTTAGGCAATAATTAATGAAATTGGCGGGAAAGTGTTTCTAAAAGTGAATTATGTTAATCCTTATTATATATTAACTAGTGTGGTACCCGTGCGATGCACGAGCTAATTTTATTAAGGTAAGCAGTTAAATTTGGATGATTGGAAGAACGTAAAATACATATATTGAAATGAAACACAATGTAACATTATATATTATTAAACATATCATTGTACACAAAGTTATTTGTTTGGTCTTTTGGTACATCGGCTATCGTCACAAATTATATTAAGATTGTAGATAGTCTTAAATAAATCGATTAAATTATTTAGTAGAATATATACGATATTTTGTAAGTATATGAAATCATTATTTATTTTGTAAGTGTATTCAATCAATTTCAAATTTGTATTCTAGATAATTAAACAAAACTCAAATTTTTAGGATGTTACAATATGATTTCATTTTGAATTTCAAATTATGACTTTGTTTTATGTTTAAAAAAAGTCCGAATTAAAGAAAGTAGAATCAAATGATAATAGATTTTTAAATTTTAATTTGAAATTTGGCTCGATTATTATGTAATCCGATATTTTTTAATAAGCATGATCTGCTACAATTAGGAAAAGATACATGTTATAGTGTTTTGTCTTTCAAAGTTCTCGATTGTATGGTAAACAAATTTTTTAATAAAAAAATGAAAGAATTTTGACTTTTACAAAATTGTCATGCCGACTATGCAATCCGATTTTTATAATAAATAATTGATTTGTTGCAATTAGTAAATGATATATGTGATAATATTTTGCCTAATTTGAAATTCTTGATTTTATTTTATTCAATTTTTTAATA